AACATATATATATCGTCAAATAGAACTGCCCGGTAAACCGTAGGCAGAGAGGGAGAAGAGGACAACAAACGAGGGGCTGTGACAAACTGTTTCGTCGGAGTTTCACCGACTCATCATATGAAACTCCAACGAAACAGTTTGTCACAGCCCCTCGTTTGTTGTCCTCTTCTCTCTCTCTGCCTACGGTTTACCGGCAGTTCTGTTTGTGATGATATATATATATATATATATATAGTCAAACAGAGCTGCCCGGTAAACCGTACGCAGAGAGGGAGAAGAGGACAACAAGCGAGGGGCTGTGACAAACTGTTTCGTAGGAGTTTCTATATCTATATACATGCGGCGCATCATGTGCATGCAAGTTGCGCACGTGCGCCACATAGAGCAAGTGCACGCATGCACGCGTAAGTGTTGCGACGCACGTACAAAAATAGGGTTGATTAAAATTTTCAAAAAGGGCAGGCTGTGGTAGCCAAATGTGTCCCTCCCTTCTGAAAATTGTAAGTGCACATAAAAATTAAAACTTGGGGTCACATCATACTCCTCATTGGATCTAGTCTTTTTTCCAAAGGGTCCCCTGAAGAGAATTCGCAGGGATGGCCAGCAATATATTCTGGATTCCGATTCAGGTCTTCGTTCCAGCAGTTATGGGTTACGAACTTACTATGAACACTACAGCAGCTGTCTCGTTTTTTTTTTTTTTTTTTTTTCCTTTTCTTACATGCAGTGGCCCTAAGGCCCTCGCTCCACTCATCACCAATTGCACAGAAGACAAAACATATGGTGGCATATGGTTCCAGTTTCTAGGAGAAGATTCATTCTAGTTTCGCACATTTGGTGTGTGTGGATTGAAGCCCTGAAAATCACATGCCGAGTTAGTAAGTCAGAAACCCATAACTGCTGAAACACGGACCTGAACTCAAAGCTACACCATATATAGCTGGCCTGCTACCACTTTACTGCAAGCCCAGCGATTACCTTTCCTTGCCTTGCTGACGAGACCCTTCCTAATTTTTGGCAGCAGCCTTTTGAAGTACCGGCAGGGGTTTTCTGAATAATGTGAAAGGGCTCTTTGCTCTCTCTCTCTCTCTCTCTCTCCAGCGTGTGTACACACATTATGGTCACTTTTTTTTCGTGCATTGACGATCAGCGCACTGCACTGCGCAGTGCACCTCACGTATGCGCCGCAAGTAGATATATATCGTCAAACAGAGCTGCCCGGTAAACTGTAGGCAGAGAGGGAGAAGAAGACAAGAAACTGGGGGCTGTATAGGCTGAAATGAGAAAGATTATTATCTTCATATCCCAGCCTCCCAGGCTATCCTGTGGTATTCCGGCCCTTTGTTTTATAGTTTTTTTTTTTTTTTAATTCGTCTGCACGATTCTCCCATTTATTTGTCCTCTTCCGTTCTACTCCAATGCCTACAGTCTTCCCCCGAACAAAACGCACTTATGTACTATTCAACTTTTCCTGGAAAAGTCGATTTCTTGAAGTCGCCCCCTGAAATCCAAATAGTACGCACATATGTTCTATTCGAAGAGTACGCACGTTTGTTCTACTCGAACAGGCGGGATTTCTATTCAAATAGAACACACACATGGCCGCCTGCAGTGCTGCACCTGTTTTCAAGCGCGCACGCCCTGCAGTGTTCCTCTCTCTCTCTCTCTCTCTCTCTCTCTCTCTCTCTCTCTCTCTCTCTCTCTC